TGCAGCAATACAACCGGCTGTATCCCCCAAACACTCCTAAATGGTCTTATAATGACCAATCGTCAAATGTCATTTATAGTACAGAAGAAGATGCAGGAGTCAGTGTAGAAGAAGAGCCAATTACGGAAAATAAAGAAGTAGAAGAGGTTCAAAGGGAAGTTTCTTCTGCAGCGGAAAGTGATGACGAAAATCTGGAAGAATAAATTAATTGCAAGGGATTTTTGGAAGGAAAATGGGACAATTTTTTTATCATTTATTATTATATTATATATAAATATTTGGGATGATTTCGGGGGATTTTGGGATGATTTTTTTTATCATTTATTATTATTGTCCAGAGCGAAGCGAAGGACTATATATGTTTGTGAATGTTAAGTGTAACTATGTCACGTGATAAAGTCCGTTTGTCCGCACGTATCATGTCACTGAAATTTTATACTACACTGATAAATAAACAAATCTGTAATAAACATAAAGATAAAGGTATTACATGATGTGTTACATAAAGTGTAACATGGAAGTGTTACAGTACATGATAAGTTGTGAAAAAAATTTTTTTCTAAAAATAATGAAGGTTTTTTTGCAACAATTAGTTAGATTCCATTATTTCGTAAAAATAAAACATATGTACGAGTGTATTTGCAGTTTTTCATGCTAATATAGTATAATAATATAAATATAACAATAATTATTTGGAACAAAAAATTTTACTTTTTATTTTTATTTTTTTTATTATTAGATCTATTACATTTAATTCTTGGTATCTTGGAAACTAAACGTTTCTCTTTGTCTAACCTTTCTTGTAATCTTTTGCACCCTTTAATGCGCTGAAGTCTCTTGAAGTTGAAGGGTTTGAAGAGAAGATCTTTGAGGACGCGCACTCAAGACACTGCTACAAAAGAAAGACCTGCTACAAATTCTTTGTCGCCAAGATCTGCTATAGCCTTTCGTAATGTGAGACCCTAGCTTTTATGTATCGTAATTGCCCACGCAAGACAAAAAGGAATTTGCAAGCGTGAATAAGAGGCTCTAGATTTACTATTCCAGATACGTTTAATTGGTGCAATTGGCACTACCCTTTCGCCTTCTAAGCTAGCAATGGTGGGGCCTTCATAATTATCGAAAGAGATTAGGACTGCTATAGGAAGAGAAGGCAGTCCTTGATCTTTTTGGAATATTATATCTTGAACAGTTCCTATTAAACCATTGACTAGTCCGTTTTCTACCTGTAGATTTGCCATTAACATGACTCGTACACTTTTCGCTAGCAGTATATATGCTTTGAGACCATGCGCTGTATCCAAGTCTGCATTTTTTGCTTCTTTTCCACCCATATGTATGGCTTGGATTTTGGCAACGGGAATATCTAACGATCGAAGTCGATATATATTTACTGTGTCAACTTCAGACCACCTTGTTAGAATGAATAAGGCATCAGAAAACCTATTTCATTCTTTATACTGAGCTTATCTTCGAATCGTGTGCTGAGAACTTTCCAATCGTCTATAGTAGATTCTTTATTGCGCAGCCTTAAGAGAATGTTTCTAAATTCCTGCTGTTCTCTAGAATTTCCTGATTGACGCTGTACGATACTAAGCTGATACACTTTTTTGAACTGCTTGTATGCCGCACGACCCCCATCAGACAAAAAATCATGCTTGGTATCAACAAACATAGAAAGATCAAGGACAGGTGGAAGTTGGCCGAAGTCACTGAAAAGAATAATCGACCTGCCGCCAAATAATTTGTTGTTATATTCAGGAAAAGCTTGCCAAAGCCGTATATCAACTAAAGCAAGCATTCTACGTCCAACTATACTCTTCTCGTCAATTATTACATATCTTACATCTTTTAATTTATCCTGTAGTTGCTTTAGCCATTCACCATTTATATTAAGGCGTTTTGCGTCATTAACTATCAGAATTGACAGTCCTGAATGAATCGTTATTCCGTCAATGTTGAAGGCTGTAACTCCTATCGGTGCAAGCACGGCCATAGGTGATTTAGGTTCTCCTGCCATTTCTCAAAGTCTGCTTTGGATTGCTTCTATTAAGTAAGTCTTGCCAGTCCTAGCAGTTCCCATCACTATTATCCTTAAGGGTTCATTTTGACGTCCTTCAAGCATATCGTGATAATGTGACTTTATTCGCTTGAAGACTATTTTTTGATTATCATTTAGCGTCTGATAATCTACTAATACGTTTTTTTCTTTGACAATCCTAGGATTTCTGCTTAAAAATGTATTAATGTCTATGAGATCCGTATATTATTGCTTTGGATCATTAATCCAGTCATGGTTTCGATCCATGTCTTGAGATCCTAGATCAGAAGAATAATTGAAACTTGGTCTTGGGCCTATTTCTGCAAGAATCATCCAGTCAGATCGAAATTCATCCTGCTCATCATCTTCAAGCGGTTCTTCTTCCTCTTCATCATTTATCTTGTCTTTTGCATTGTCTACAGGTGATCCAAATAGATCAATTAGACCAGAATCGATCTTTTCGAGATAATTGTTGTATAAAGTTGACCATGCAATACTTCTGTCTTCAGTTAATTCCTGGATGTCTCGATGATAGACATAAAGAAGGACCTTTGCACAGCAAAACTCTTCCCATTGCAGGCTTTTGCGTAAGGCTGATGGGCGTAGATAGATATGTACGATATTTTCCTTTTCACACTTTTTCCATTGATTTCTAAAAAATTTGTGTGTCAAATTAAGCCGAAATAGCGTATAATCTTCAAGCTCCGTAGGTCAATCCCAATATGATTTCAAAGGTGATTTTTCTGTCCGTCCAAAATCATCAATTTTAGAAGATTCTCTGTCTTCTTCGGTGTCACAAATCCATCTCAATGCTTCCTTGTTGAGATTCAAGAAAACGAAATTACAGCTCGAATGGTAGAGAGGAAGGCCAAGTAGAATGTGACATGTCTCTTGAGCAGAAATATCCCGTTCTGCAACACTGTGCAGTAGCAGCTTTTGGATTGAGGTAAGTGATTGATCTTCTAGCTGACATTCACCAAGGATCCGATCCAATATGTCTGAAAAGGCTGCCAATCGTGATTCTGCTTTACTTGCATACTTCGAAATGTATTGCAATGCAGCATGAATACTGAGAATTGGTTTTAAGTCCACGTTGGCTTGCTAACTTTGTAAATGAAGTCGGCTATATGGGTTTACGTATTGATCATTTTGTGCTGTTATAAGCTCTGGTCACCCATGATCATCATCTCGCACGAATGTTTGGTCAACAATTTCTTTGGATATCCAAATCTGCAAGACTGCTTTCCTTTTTTGTTTGTGCGAAGACAATATGCAGGACTGCATCGGGTATGTCTTTGTAATTTATTGATTAAATTGACATAATCTTATTGATCGCAATCATGTAACTCGCTGCTTTCTTTTTGACATGGATGTCATTCAGGAATGGGCATTTCGAGTCCTAAATTTATTGTGGTAACCAGATTATCAAGGTATTATACAACTTCTTTCATCTTATTTTCATCTTCCTTCATTTGCTCCCATTCTATCATAGGCGCATTTCTTCTTTTACCAATCTCATGTACATGAATGCTGCCGCAATATTGCCATTCGTATCTAAACTACCAATCTTTCAAATCCCATTGTTTTTAGGACATCATCAAAGAAAATATCGAATCGCTTACTAAAAAACCAGACCGCGATATGAGGGTTGTCTATAAGGTTTTGGTGATGGTTTTTGGCCAAAGTTTCACAATCGTCATTAGATTGCATAAGCCTATGGAGCTCAGGCCAGTGCAAATCAGTGGCACTAAAAGTAAAAAAGATTATTCCATTTGACCCTATCTGCTTAATCATGTCAGACAGTTCGTATCGTTGTGAATTCCAAAACTGACAAGTTTTGCGTAAACCTTTTTCATAACGCATTATCCTATTGGCCATATGGTTATCACTCTTGGTAATTCTTTCCCAAATATCTGTAACAGTAATTTACGCATTGGTAAGGTTTTGCTTAACATATACCTTTCCCTCTTGTAATGCTCGCTAACGTATTTGAGAATTCAATGTGAAATACCGCCAACGAGTATGATGCACAAATCTCGTATCTTTGTATTGAAGGAGATACTTAAAATATTCAGCAGATTTCACATCTTTTATACATCTTGCACAAAGATCTGCCTTTCCAGTTGGATATAATATTGGAAATACGCATGCGATATATCCTGGCGTTTGGAATTCATTAACAGGATTACTATTTATTTGTGACCAAATTATAGAACTGTTCTCATCCTGCACTAGATCAAGGGTATTTCTAATAGCAACGTCTTCACGATTGGACAAGGGTAGAAGCAGAACAAAGTTATGTATAATAACGTCATCCTCATTTTCAGAATCATCATTGTTAATTTTTCAGAGCTGGTCATCAATTGAACCATCAAGTAGTAAAGATCGAAGTACTTCATGGTCAATGATTATGTCAGCATAGTGATGATTGTTTTCTTTTAACCAGTTTAATGCATGAGTAACTTTGGTACGATGAACTTTAAAATCTCTAAATACATCTGAGTTACTCGCAGATTGATGACGTATAACAAGCACATATAATGATGATGGATGCCGATTAAGTTTTGTGACAAATTCTTGTACATTTTGAGAAAAGTTAATTATGTTTCCATGATATCCATGCTGTTCTCCACGAAGTCTGTAAACTGATATCACAGGAAAAACTCGCGCAATCAACATTTCCTCAATTTCTGTGAGGTCCTGAAGTTCATCAGGCACTTTACTTGGGTCCATATCATTTTCTTCTGAAAATTTTTTTGGCATGTTATCTTTGGTTTTTTCTTTATAGCAACGTCAGCATTCATTCATCATGATTACTATAGATGGAAAACTCTCATTGCATGTAGGACAAAAAGCATGTTTAATTTATCAACCTTGTTGCGAAATTTCCGTAGAAGTTCTCTTTCGGACTCACTAAGTTCACTGGCTAAAAGTGGCTCGGAATATGTATCTGCATTATCTACGCACTACCTTGAGACTTTTGCTGCAGTTGCTGGTTCTGTGTATTCAAGTCACAAATCATTGTATTTTGAATATCTTTCAGGTAAGTTCTTCGTCCATGATAGTAACTTAGACATTTTTCACGTTGTTCATCCGTTTCCATTACTAACTTTACGTGTTTTCGTTCTTTATCACGTGTTGCATACGCTTCTCCCTCATCATCATCATTTTCCCTTGCCCTTTTACTCTGCATGTATTCACATTGCTTTGCAAGGCATGTTTCACGTTGACTAGGTGTTTCATTTTCTCTGACTTTATGCTTTCAAAGAGTGTCCCGACTTATGAATTTATCATCCATTGTATATGCTAAAGAGAAATTCTATAGTGGCTTGTATTTTACTTATATCACTGAACATTGTACAGCATGCATGATCTGCATGTCAAATTACTGTATTTAGAATAAAATTGTATTAGTGATATAAATTTTATTGACAAAAACGTAATTTACAAATTTAGTTAGTTAGATTTTTATTGAACTATGATATAATTATTGTTAATGTTCCAATCATGTGATACTGATACTTTTATTAATATTTTTTTTACATATTTATTGTGTTACATTCACTATTCTATCTATTGTGTTACATTCAATCAAGTTCGAAACTCTAATCTACAAAAAT